ATAATGATATGTATTTTGTTACATATTGGTTTGGGTTTTGTTGTATAATGATGTGTATTTTGTTACATAGTGGTTTGGGTTTTGTTGTATAATGATATGTATTTTGTTACATATTGGTTTGGGTTTTGTTGTATAATGATGTGTATTTTGTTACATAGTGGTTTGGGTTTTGTTGTATAATGATGTATATTTTGTTACATAGTGGTTTGGGTTTTGTTGTATAATGATGTGTATTTTGTTACATAGTGGTCTGGGTTTTGTTGCATAATGATGTGTAATCTGTTACACAGCGGTGTGGATTTTGTTGTATAATGATGTGTGTATTGTTACATAGTGGTTTGGGTTTTTTGTATAATGATATGTATTTTGTTACATAGTGATCTGGGTTTTGTTGTATAATGATATGTATTTTGTTACATATTGGTTTGGGTTTTGTTGTATAATGATGTATATTTTGTTACTCAGTGGTTTGGGTTTTGTTGTATAATGATGTATGTTTTGTTACTCAGTGGTTTGGATTTTGTTGCATAGTAGTATGGGTTTTGTTGTATAATGATGCGTGTCTTGTTTCATAGTGGTATACGCTTTGTTACATAATGATATGCGTTTTGTGATATAATGTGAGTTTGTGTGTTTTTATTTCACAATTCACTCTATATTAACTATTATGAAAACTAGACGAATCTTTTTTTCTTTCTAACCTCCTACATAAAACACATAAAAACATCTACAAAATTCAAGGCTAAATATGCCAATATTAAAGCACGAGATTAAAATGAAACTGACCGAAAAGCAGTTTTCTCGTGAGTAAAGGCCCATTTCGGCATATAGTGGTAACAGCGGGAGCACGTGTCATCGCGGTATTGAGATAGGGAGAGATAGGTTCCTTGATTTCTCTCGGTCCGACAATAAAAAGAACCATGGTCAGTAACATCAGTGAGATTGTTGTTTGTTTGACCAATGATGACCAGGAAAAGCTAAAAGTTTATACACAAATAAAGGGTCATTCTGTTGCATATCATTCTGTAAATCAAATAACACTAAAACAAGGACAACTTTTGAAATTAACACGTGAAGTCATACAACACATCATATTAATATAAAATAATTCCTGTAAATAATATCACATATCATATTTACATATAATACGTCCTGTGTGTCAGATGTGTGTTTAATGTGAATATTATGGTTTAGATGGTTTAAGTATATATTTGGCTGGAAAAGGTGTGGACAAAAACAAAGCATCTGAAACATATGAACTCAAAGTTATTGAAGTATTGAAGGAACCCACATGCAATTAGAATGTCTCCAAATTTCATAGATGCTAGTTATTCCAAACTATATCTGAGTATCAGACTTATATCCTTTGTGGATATTTTTGCCTAATCTACAAAAAAAAAATAATAATAAATTAAAGAATGGTGTGGGCAGAAAAAAAGAATCGCGACCGAAAAATGTGAAATCGAAGCTTGCGGCCAAAATAAGAAAATATTGATGTTAGATATACACGGATGTTTCATTTCGTCTTTAAGTTTAATGTGAACGTTGTGATTTAGATTGTTTACGTAGCGCGAGTGTTAAAGTTAGTTATTTTTAGAAGCGACATTTTATCGCAAGTTTGTTTACGTAACTGTTCCCGAATCATTCGTTGGACAGTTCAATTGTTGTGAATTGACGTCATGTTACTCGAACCTTCTGAGGTTTTCTCGCTGATTTAAGTAAGTATTGTTGCATTATATAGCTAGTATTGTGTGGGATGTTCGTGTGTGCATATATACGCGTCGAAAAATGAGTTCGATATAGAAAGCTAGACACAGTTAGTGAGAGATATAGCCAAATAATCCTAGACTGTGTGTTTGTGAGTTTCACCGTAAAGAGCGTATACTGACTTTTTAAAGTAAAATTATCACAGCTTGTATTGTAATAACAGAGTAGAGAAAAACATTATCTTCTCAGTTGTGTTCTAAAGTGATTGAAACAGCCTGTGTGGACTTTGACGAAAAAGATACAATTATTTAAAGCTTTTGGATACAACTGTGGTAACCAACAATGTAACGAACATTTGTATATTCACTCGAATTGTTTTAATACATTATTTTAAAACAAGTGGACTGTGTGCTGTTTTTTCATTGTTGAAATTTATCATCAACAAGTCACAGACACCTACACTAAAGAATCCTGCCCACACATACATATAAAAACCTGACAATGAATGATTAAAACTGTGTACAAATTATTGTGACTAAGTATTCAAAATTTTAGAAAAACTTGTAAAGTATGCATATCTATTGTTTGTATTTAAGTACAAAGCTACACAAAGGGCTATCTGTGCTCTGCCCACCACGGGTATCGAAACCCGGTCTCTAGCGTTGTAAGTCCGCAGACATACGGCTTTGCCACTTGGGGGCGTATCCATATCTACTACAATAAATCACATGGGCTGCTGTTTTATGTTTAGCTACGCACCGACAAAAACAGCAAACCCATGTGATTTCTTGTAGTAGATATGGATACTCTACAAATATTGTTAGATTCTGAATGCTTAGTCACAATAAAATCATCTTCTTCAATAGGGATTCGGTTCATGTTTTGGACCAGGGAGGGTCAGGTTCCTCCCTCTCTGGAATTGTCATTTTGTTTGCACTGTTACTGAATCCTAGGTAATAGCCATTGTTACATTGTTGTTGTATTACTCACA